TCTCTAGTCTGTACCCATTCCTTCTCCTTCTGATAAACTACACACACACATATATATATAAGTATTATTATTAACAATTTATGTTTAACTAGTGCATAGCCCGTGCAATGCACGGAAAAACAATATTACGATTGTATTATTAATTAAATATATAAATAATATTAATCATGATTTATCCATTATTTTTAAATTAAACCGGGTTGGACACAATCCAATCGGATGGACCGAGAACCGGTTTATAACCAGTCTAGTTCACTTGAATAAAACTTTTGCTCTTGAATTTGTCAACACCTGTCGGTTGGACTGGTAGGATCGATACGATTTTCTAAATAAATTTTGTTATATTTGAAATTATTTTAAATAAAATTACATATTTAAATAAAATAGGGATTTAAAATTATTTATCAATTAGTTTAAACATTGAATTTATAAATTGTTTAGATATCTAAGTAACACTTTAAATTTATTACAAAAAGTACTATATATATATATATTAAAATGTTTATAAATTAAAATCTGAACAAACCACAAATCATTTAATAAAATAGCTTGATCGTTTCGATGACGGTCCAGTTCTGAAAATCTTATATTTACTGTACATAAATATATATTATAATAAAATATTATTTAATTCACATAAATATTAATAGAATGATATATAAATATTCATAAATCATTAAACATGTTGTCATAAAAGTATTGTTAATACGATTATTTGAAGTTTGGACTAAATCACATTCACGTAATACAATATTTTCAATATAAAATTTGTATTTTGGTTCAATAATGGATTTGATGTGGTCGAACTGATACATAACTTAGTCACCCGAGACCAACCAAGTTGTGTCAAGTTTTTTGACTATTTTAAATGTCACCTTAAAGTAAATCAATCAACCTTGGCAGTACCCTAATTCAATTATCCGATCCGAAGAAATTTTCTTATTTTCTTTAAATTTAGATAAGTTTATGAAATAAAAATATTTTATGATTCATATAATAAATGTCTACACCAAATGATAGTATATTAAGATTATAAATTATATATCTAAAGATGAATTAATTATTTTTACTTTATGCATATTAATAAAAAATAAACATAGTAATTTTAAAAAAAATTAAGATTAATTGATTGATGCAATTTAAAGAATATTTTTAGTTTTCAATATTTTTTTAAAGGCACAAATATAAAGACCGAGATTCTAAAACTTTTGTTATATTTTGAATTGAGATTTTATAACTATAGTGACTGAGATTTTAATGTTGTTCGTTGTTTATAAGAAAGAAAATAAAAATAAAAAATGCACATTTAATAAATCTTAGCCGGATTTTTTAAATAATAAAATGAACTAACTCCCGAAATGTAAGGTAACATTTAATGCTGTATGATTTTTTAATAAAAATATAATAAAATAATAAAACTTACTATTTATAGACTGCATTAAATTCTGACCTATTTTTTTGCTACTATTTTTGATAAATGGTAATTCTTATTATATATATATAGATTTTGGGTAATGGCCTATGCTTCTTGGAAAATAAGAAGGATAATTTGTCACATTGAAAATGTTAAATTGTAATTGTACATTAAATTTTGTAGGTAATTTGCACACTAAAAAGGCAAAGTCGCTGGAAAATCTATATTAAATGTTACTCATTAATGGTTTGATCAATTCAATAAATATTGTCAAAAAATTTAAAGCCCTATTGGAATTGTGTATAATAGATATAATATTATTGGGAATTTGAATAAGTTGGCAACTGTTTAGAATGTTGTGCTAATTCTACACATCTCAATACAATTAGTATTTTATCAAACAAAATAATAATAATAATAATAATAATAATAATAAATGTCAAATCTATATCTATATATTTTAAAAGGTTTGATTATTTTTTAAATAGTAACTATTTCCCTAAAAAAAATGTATTTACTATTTTGAGAAATTAATTTAGCAATTTATGGTATATTTTAAATAATCAGTTACGAAAATTGCGGCTCATTATTTAAGGAAATAATTAAGCCATATAAAAATACATTTTTAAGATACCTTAACTATTCAAATTAATTTAACAATTTATGGTATATTTCAAATAGTCACTTATGGTAAATTCATTTTTAAGATACCTTAATTACTCAAATCATGTGAATTGGTTGGTTTACCCAAATATGGGAATTTCGGCTGCAATATCAATTATGTGATTTGGTGTAAAAATTTCAACCAAATTGTATAATTTATTATTTAATAAATGTTTTATATTTTTAGTGTAATTCTTTTGTGAAATTTTTAATAAATATAATTGATTTTTTTGTGTATTTAATTGCTCAAATCGTGAATAATTAAGGAAATAATTAGACCATAAAAATTTATATTTGCACTGTACGGGTGTGGTACTAATATTTAAATAGATATGTTTTATATAATTTTGCACAATTTAAGTTTCATATAACATTTTCAACAAATTAATATAGGTAAATTGTATTATATATTGATTTCATATTTCTAATTTAATAAATATTATTTAATGAGTATTTATAATTTATAAATATTAATGAATATTTTTTATCCGTGCATCACATGGGATTCGTAAGTATATATAAAAGCCAAGCAGCTGAAATTTTCCCTCCTAAAGTATTGTAAATGCATCTCATTAATATTTTGATCAATTTGATATAGTTTGTCTCAAAGTTGTAATTAAGAATATTTTTTTTCCAATAATAACCTTCATTAATGAGGATAGAGATAGATGTTTTGAAAAAAGATAAAGAGTGAACATGAAAAGACGTAGTGTATTTATTAGGTACATAAGGGTAATAATGGAAAAATATGTACAAAAGATTCAAAACGTCATTTATTTGGTTAATTGTTGATAAAGCCAAAATGACATTTATATAAAAAAACGAGGTAGTAATATTTATTGGTATATGTGAAACCAAGGAAAAAAAAATTACACTTTCATTTTCCCATGTGGTAACGCAAAACACTCCGACCGGCTTGAAATCGGTTCGCCTTCCTCTTCCTCGCCGGTAGAACGCCGCGCACTTGTACAGAACTCTCACA